GGAGAAACCTTAATTATTTGATAGACTGTTTTCAATTTTGTTTTTTGTCAAAAGAAGACTATGCAGAGGAAATTAATATAATAGATCCAGAATCCGTTTTTCCCATCAAAAGATAATTTGAACTATAACTTTATAGGATAAAATTTTGGAACTGGATTGAAGATGCATTTTGAAATTACAGCATCAGGTGCTTCCTTTTGTAAAAGTTAAAAATAACAATACTGAGCTTGTTGAAATTGCTTTACAATTCCTTCTATTTTTGCCAACATACTTCTGTGAGACCAGTTTTCTACTATGAGTGTTATTTCAAAAAAAGCATCAGTGCAATTTCTTCACCCATTATCTCTTAAGAGATATGGTGTCATAAATAGCACTCAGATTAGGCAAGTTAACAAGTAAGAAGAGTACTCACTGGTCACATTAAAATCATTAAATGTGGATATACGGGGAGTTTGTTCAAAATGTGTATGTTGGCATTTAGTATGGAGAATCGCTATTTCCCTTTCAACTTTGTGTTTAGTTATGACTATATTAATCATCTTTATGCATACTTTCAAATGATTGACATATACAGTTTTTATAGTTTAAATTTTTCCCTATGTTATATTTATTCTGTTTGTATTTGTTGAAATGTGGTTTTATATCTATCAAATCTAATAAACATTTTGAGCTTTACTTTGTGTTTTTCTTTTATCTCATTTTATTTTTCTAGTAATTTGTTTTTACTGTATTTTATAAAAAAAAGTAGTCACTTGCGAATTGCAGATTTTTTAAAAAAGATCTTCCACCACAGATTCTTCGAGAAGCTCTGCTCTAGGTTAGAGGTTGGCAAAGTTTCCGTAAAGAGTCAGGGCTTTGTGGGCCATGCGGTCTCTGTCACAACTGTTCAGCTCTGCTGTCATAGCACGAAAAGGGCCATACACAACACGTAAATGATGGGCATAGCTGTGTTCCAAAACAACTTTACGTAGCATTAAAATTTGAATTTCTTATACAATTTTCATATGTCACAAAGTATTATTTTTCTTTTGATTTTTTTTTTCCCAACCACTTAAAAACCATTCTTAGTTTTCAGGCCACAGTCAGCTGACCCCTGATCTGGACCAGGAGGGATGAGCAGGTGCCCACCCAGATACCAGCAAGCCCATGTGAGTCCCCGGCTCTACATGGTGGGGCGGGTTTGCACCCAGTGGACACACATTTACTGAACACCTGCTGTGTGCCGAAGATGCCGGCAGTCCTGGGCCCTCCTGTGGCGGTGTCATACGGATGTGACCGGTCAGCATGCTCAACCGATGTGTTTGATCCCTTTGAGCATCTCCAAGGAGGCCACTGGCCGCAGGCTTGTGGACCATGGAGGCAGACAGTGTGGGGTGGCTGCACGTGTGCGTACGTGTGACCCCAGCCACCTGCAGCCTTCCTGGGAGATTGGGGCGGGGCGGGGCTGGCTTCCATGATTAGGAAATGGGGATGATGGAGGCAGCAAGAGGGAGGGAGGGGCATTCCCCCTTTCAGGCACAGGGCTCACCTGGAGACACCGCCAGGTAGAATTTGATGGACTTAGAGACAGAGTTGCCGGAAGCGTGGTAGATTTTACACCAGTAGTGTCCTGAGTCTTCCTCCCTCAGACTAGTCATGGTGACAATGAAGAAGCCAGCGACAGGGTCGTCCCAGATTGAGAATCGAGAGGCCTGAACCAGTGTCCGCGGCCTGGAGCTGGTGACTAGCCTGGTGCACACAGGAGCTGACACCTCCTTACACCAGCCTTTCTTCTGGTAGAACCTGCCCGTGGGCGGGTACTGGCATCTCACGGAGAGCTGCTGCCCTGCTGTGCTTTGAAGTTCGTGAACCTTGGGCAACGCCCAGGAGCCTGGAGAACAAGGCCCCAGGTCAGGGCCACCTGCAGAACCTGCCTCACACCAGGCCTCTGGCCACAGAGCCACTTGCTCCCTGCCCCTGCTGTCCCAACAGTCCCCGCCGCACCCTTCCCCTCTCCTCCCCAGGCTCTTCCTCCCCTCACCTGGGAGCAGCAGCAGCAGCAGCAGCAGTCCTGGGAGTGTTCTCTGGGCCGGGCCCTTGTCCTGTGTGCTGGTGGGAAGGGACATGGGGGCAGACTGGGGAGAGGGAAAAATGGATGAGATGAAAAATGAGACAGGCCAGGGCCTGGCTTGGAGAGGTGGGAGACTGGGGGGCAGATTCTGTGGGTGCAGGGGAGTGGGGGCCTCCAGCTGCAGGCGTGGCTGGGCCTGGCGGGCCACCACACAGCTCCCCAGCCTGTAGAAGACCATCGCTCTCCCTGTGCCCAGCTGTCCCCTCCTGCCGTGATCCACCCCTGGGGGAGGAGCCCAGAGGGCCAGGAGGAAACTGTGGTCAAGTAGTAGACACCTCCCTCTGCCTCCCTCCTGGGCACTGCCTGTTCTTTGCAGGGCCCTGGCTGTGCCCGCATCTCTGGGGACAGTCAGGCTGAAAGTGGGTGAGAAGCTCAGGAACACTGAGGCCTGACCATGAACCCCAGCCCCATTGATCGCAGGGTGGTCAGAGACGTCGCGCCTAGGCCTGCCCAGTGGGTCAGTGATGTGCTTCCCCCCTGGGAAATTTCGCGGGTGCTGGAGGGGAGAGGAGAGATGAGGCGGAGAGAGAGCACGGAGCAGGGGCCCTCAGAGGGGACGGGGGGACGGGTCCCAGGAGCCTGGACCTGGCTTCATCTCTGCATCCTCAACTCCCGCTGCCTAAGGGCACTGCAGAAATATTTGTTTAATCGAATAAACAGATGTTAATAAACACAAACAGATGAAAAGTTCTAGCATCTCTTTAGTGAATGTTAGCATTCTTAAGATTTAATTTTTTACAACAGGTGCAATTTACAGAGAGACAGGGTCTATGCTAGGACTGGGGGAGAGGCTGTGTGCAACAGCAGCCGCACCCCGGGGCTCTGCCAGGCTACGTCCGTGCAGAGTTAATGATTTAGACGGGAACTAGAACCCAGCAAGTGGGCTTGATTTCACATCCACTGCTCTGCCCACCCCCGGACCCCGACTTCCTGCTCCGCCTCGGTGCAGTGCCCTCCTCCTTACAGTAGGAGGAAGCAGAGACTGAGGATGAGAAGGCAGAGGGACGGACGCAGTAGGGAGAGCAGATGTCGGGGGCCCAGGGGACAAGGTGGGAGAGCAGGCGGCAGCTGCAGAGCCAGACAACACCTGCAGGGAGCCCGCCACAGGGAGCCCGTCAAGCCTTACTTGCGCTGGTGATTGCAAAGCATGTGCGTGCACACTCTCTCATGACTTTTCTTTTTCTCAGAAATGGGGACTGAGGCCCAGACATGGTCAGTGACCTGCTCAAAGTCACACTGTGAGTTGGTGGTGTTACCAGAACAGGCTTCCTGACTTTTGACCGGAGTCTTCCGGCTGCAGCCTGGCTGAAGTCTGACCCACAGACAGGACAGGAAACCGGGGGTGAGGCAGAGCAGAGGTGCACTTGTGGGGTTTCTCACCTCCAGGGGGGCCCATATCCACCTCCCTGGACCTAATTACATGCCATATGAGTGAGGGGTGGCTCAGAAGCGTGTCACTGCGTGTGAAGGTGTCAGCAACTGGTTTCCCACGATGATTTTCCCCTTCTCTAACCACTGCTGACCGCTCAGAAGTGACACCTCCTACCTGTAGGCTCATCCCACATCCCACCGGCCACATCCCACCACCGGCCATATCCCACCACTGGCCACATCCCACTGGCTCTGTGTCCCTCCAGGCCCCGTGATTGACTCTGTGTGGTTCTCTGCTGTGTCCCATGGGAGAGGGACCTCTCAAAGGGCGTGATCTGCCCCCTCTCTGCGCTGTGGCCTCCCCACCAGGGTGAGGGGGTGGGCACCCTCCGCATACATAGACTTGGGACCTCGGGTGCCCCAGGCGGGGACCCTGCTGGAGCCACCTGGACCCTCAGTCTCTTCCAGCATCCGGGACCTGAGCCCCAGGTGTGGGAGCAGGGAGTCTGAGCTTAGGCTCAACCCCGTCTGGGGTGGGGCTGGCCCTGCTCCGGGGGGCTCACAACAGCCCCTGTCACATGTTGAATTTTTGCAGGAGGGGCTGGGGTGGGCAGCTGTGGTGGGACTTGGGGCTCCTTCAGCAGTCTCCTCAAGAGATGGGGGTGAGGAGCCACCACCAGGGGAGGGCACAGCTAGGAGTCCTGTTGGGAGCTTGGGGTTCTGGGGGGAACCACTCTGCCTTCCTCTGAGAGGGCCCCTCAGGGACCTCGGGAGCCTCAGTGGCCTCCTCACCCGACCTCATTGGCAGCATTCTCAGGGGAGACTGGAGAAGGAGCTGGGGAGCTGAAGACATGGTGTTTCCAGAGGGTCCAGCCCTCCCCTCCTCTCCCTGAATGGGCCTGGGGCAGACGAGAGCTCAGTTTCTCAGTCTGTAAAATGGACACATTATGCCTTCTTGCCCATCCATCCCAGGCTGTCCTTCATCTGTGGCTTCCTGTCCGTGTCCTCTGCTCCGGGGAGCCCTGTAGGGGACCTTGGCAGCCCAGGGTGTCAGAGCTGAGGGAGTCTGGGCTCCTTCCTCCCCAGCCCCCTCCTCAACAGACACACGTGTCAGGAGCTCTGATTCGATTCCAGGTGGACCTGACCCCACACTGCTGACTTAGCTCGACATGGGTTCAGTGCCCTCTTATCCTGGGTGTTCACACGAGGTTGAAATGAAGTTTCTGCCCTCCCTAGGGACCAGAGGGGCTGATGGGCCCCTGATGTAGGACGAAGCTTCAGTCTGTCCTTTCCCTGGTGTTGGGTGGAAGGAAGGCCACCGTGGGGAACACAGCAGCACAGTGGGGAGGAGACTAGAGCTGGGCAGGGCTGAGTCCCTCAGGGCAGCGACCTCCACCCTCCCCTCTGCCCACAGACTCCACACGGCAGGTCTCCCACGCGCCCAGACAAAACTTTCACCTTTTTCAATCTTCCCCTCCCTTTTCTCTGTGTCTGGGCAGAGTCCCTCCTCAGGCCCCGCAGCCCTACCCTGCCCAAGAGGCCCCACACCTGCTGCGGGCCCTGCTGGTGCTCCTGACCTCAGGTGAGGGGCAGGGAGAGGAGGGGAACGTCAGGAGAAGATGCAACAGCTCAAACTACCAGCACGAGACTATTCCCTCAGTTCCTTCATTCATTAGTATTATACTACTTGACAATCGAGTATCTCCTACATTTGAGGGAAATTAATAGCACAAAGGCAAAGCATCGACACAGGAACATAGACCACCTGAATTTAGAATTCGTGTCAATAATTCATGAAATGGATGTGAAACTTTAAATAACTGAATGAATATTCTCAGAGATATTTATAAGAACACCATATCCCATTATTCCTTGAATGTTTATAAATTAAAGCAAATTGGAGTATTGTTTTTATTCACTGATTTGACAAATATTTTAAAAGATTGCTCATACTCTGTTGGCAGGGGTGCGGCGAAGCAAATATTATCATATGTCCAAAGTGGGGAGAGACACTGTTCAGCATTTCTGCATGTGAACAGAAGGGATCTATGACATCTAACATGTGCACTGTTTGACTGGCCGATTCCACTGCAAGGAGTCACCCATCTTTGAGAAATACGCACGACACACGCACAGGCGCAAAGGAAGGTTTGCAGAGATGTTCATCACGTCTCGTCTGTAAGAGAGAGCCCCACAAGGGAATCAGTGGCATAACTTCTGGTCCATGCCTTCTACACGATGACACGTGGCAGTGAAGAAGGAACACAGTTTGTGTGCAAAGCCAGTTAGATCTCTACACATTCTGTTAAATCGAATGGTTGCTGCGGAATGGCATGCACAGTCTAACCCCACTTATGTAAAATAAAACGAACTCAACACTGTTCGTTTGTTTGTGCATATAAACCTGTCTCTGTTTGTGTCTGTGCAAAACTACCCATCGAATTAATAATGGGAATTTCTGGGAAAATGACCGTGACTAGTGTTGGGGGAGAAGCCGTGCAGGGAACTTTAACTCTTCATCTGTACACTGCTGCAATGTTTGTTTGTTTTCCCAGCTTATTAAGGTGGAATTCACAAATGCAAATTGCATATATTTACAGTGTACAATGAGATGTTTTGATATATGTGTACATTGTGAAATGATTGTATCAAACTAATTAATATACCCATCACCTCACGTACTTACCATTTGTTTTTTGTGGTGAGAGCATTCAAGACCTACTCTTTTAGCAATTTTCCAGTATACAATATATTATTGTTAGCTACAGTCACCATGTGGTATAATAGACCTCCAGAACTTAGGCGTCCTGTCTACCTGAAACTCTGTACCCCTCAACCAACATCGGCAATGTTGATTTTTAATGAAAGTCTTTATATGTGTATAATCGTAAGTTGCTTGTGAAATGACTATTATATTTAAATTATTATATTAAAAAGTATTTTAAATGGTAAGGGAGGTAGACTGGGAAACATGGGCACAGCGGAGGACGCAGGGGCTGTGCACCCTGAGGCCGGCACTGGTGGGCGTGGGGGTGGTGGCCCCAGGGCAGGCTGCGGAGCATGGCTAAAGTGAGACCTTTTCCAGAAGACTGTGAGGACTGCCCAAATTTGAATGAAAGCAGAGGGGGTCCAGTGAGAACACAGCACAGAGGAGAGCAGCCTAAGGAGAGGGGATTTAAGTGAGGCTGGCAGGGGAAGTGTGGGCAGGGTCAGGGCTGTGCAAGATCGGGAAGGGCTGGAAACGGCGCAACCAGCTGCCTGCTGGTTCTGGTGCAGCCCAGGTGCTGGGGCTGCAGAGGCGTCTGCAGAAGGGTCCCCGCGTGGAGCAGGAGGAGCGTTGCTGGGCTCTCCACTATCCCTCGGGGGAATCTCCCTGAGACCTTCACAAGGCCCTTAATCTGAGCCTGGGCTTTTCAGCTGCCTTCAGATGCATTTTGTGCTTTCTAGGTACCCCAAGAGGGACAGAGGGGGGTGGTCTGCCAGAAATACCCCTGTCATTGCTCCTTCTGGGATCCAAGGTGGGGCCAGTGCCAGTGTGGCCAAGCAAATTAATCTTAAGCCGATCCATGCAGCCAGGACACCCAGACCCATTAGAAGCACCTACGAATCAGGCCAATTTGAGCC